TTCCCTGGTCCCCACATAAAGCTGAAAAAAGAACATGGGGCTCATTGACCAACTTTCCCCCCTTATCCAAATCCCCCCCCCAAAAAAAAAGAAAAAGAATGCCCCTTGAGGCCCTGTTTCATAGAATAATGTCATTTGCAAAGAACAAATGAATAATAGTGAAACCAGTAGAATCAAATACCAGGCCTTTCATTGCCCACTAAATAAGCCATTCATGACAGTAGAATACATCAAAATACAAAATAAATAAACAAAGAGATAGTGCACATCCAAAACGGAGACCTCTACAATGTTGAATGGGAAAGTAGGGGTGTCACTCAACATCATAACCATGCATTAATAAGAAAATATAGTGGAACATGATATCATAGAAAGCCGAAAATAACCCTTTCAATGTAAGTACCTTATTGCACTTTAAATAATAGATGACTTTGAAGCATCAATTCTACTGTCCTTTCAAAGAGGATAAATAAACATAGGAAGGATGCTTTTCAATATCTTTAGCTACGTTTGGAATCGGTGTAAAAGTACATTGATGGCGTTTTACAAGAACCATGAAGAAGTGACCGTTGCACTTTTGAAAAGCATGATGTGATCGATGTAAAACTTTACGTTTGATGAGGTTTTACACTGATTCACGACATAAAACTCCACCCCATCCAAATGCACTCAAAACTGAATCAGAGTGGAGTTTTACGTCGATCATGATTACACACTCCTTCCAAACATCGACAAAATCGAACCATTGTAAACTTTTACATCGTTCTTGATTTACACTGATTCCAAACGCAGTTTTTGTGATGTTTTTTGTAACAATTTCATACACCACCTTCTTCATAGGGATAAAAACCAATAATTAAAATATTGATACACTTGAAACCTAAAGTTGGGTATGAGTTCATCATATCTTTATGACCGATACTCATATGTATTTTTTGTTTTTTTTCCCATGTGTATCTCTCTAGTCTTTTGAGGGTCTCTAGATGATTTTGAACAAAGGTGATTAATCCAACATTTACATAGTTCAACATTTTCTGTTAGAATCTTGAAGACCCCACCAAGCCTAGAGTCATTCGGTTAATGTCAAAAGATGCACTTCTGATTTCATCCTCCATTGGGACAAACAGTGATAAGGGTATTATTGTCATCAAAAACACCAAGAGGGGCCATAGTTGTTGAGAGAGAATAAATACAAGTTATGTAGGGTAAATAGATTCATAAAATTTATTACACTTATTATCTCATAAGAGTTGTAAGCCAATTCTCACAAAGTCAATGCAACCATAAATTTGATTTTTTACTATGAGTCAAGGTTGCGTTGTGATATAATTTGGTTTTATAATCACCACTTCTAAGCCAATAACTTTTGGACTTTGGAACATTGATATTCCATCACCATAAGAAAATGCTCAAGCTCAACTAAAAGATTTTTCTCCCTGTGAGGAAATGATTTTAACTGTTGGATGGGTAAATTTATATGATCCCCAAAATAAAAGCAATTAATTAAATCATGGTATAATAGTGGGTTTGTGCCTTTTAGGAGTACAACTAGGATGAGCCCACCCCGAGCTTGAACCAACATAGCCTGCACTTTTACATGAGATGGGCTTGGATTTTTGGTCCTTGGGCTAGGCACAAAAGTTAGGGCTTTTTTAACTCAGCCTAGCCCAACTATGTACACACACATATATTTGCATGCACACATATATATGGTAAACCATTGATAAATGCATACATATATCTATAGTATATATAAAAGTGTGAATGCAATGTGAAATTTTTGTTTGATTAAAATTACCCTCTACTTCTTTGTTTAAGAAAGGGTATAAAATCCATTTTATTACATTTTTAATGCCACCTTTAATGGCTACTTAAATGCCCATAATTGTATATTTAGTCCATATCTAATGGTAAGGTTGAAATTATTAATTCCCACCTTGTTTAATCCTCTCTCATTAAGTCTTATACTTAAATTATTAACTCCCATTTTCTCTTATTAAATTAGATATGTGACAATAATTTTAACAATATAAACTCATATATTTTAAAATTGACTCAAAAACAAAAGCATTTTTAATCCAAGTAGTAGCTTAAGCAATTCAACCATCCAAATAAAATTGATCAACCTATGAAGTCATAGTTAGGTAATAAAATTTTTTAAATAGAAAAAATATAGAAACTTACAAAAATGTAAAAAAGTAGACACATTTATTAATCAAATTAAAAAATAAGTGTAATAAACAATAATTATTTTTATTGGTAATGAAAACGAAATACATAATTTAGAACTGACCAAAAATGAAATTATTTTACTGTTTGGCAAAGATCAATATTTTAAAATTTGGGTCAAACATGTTAACTTTTAATGATAAATAAATAATAAAAGTTAATAAAATATAAAAATACATAAACTTTGCAAAAAAAACATTTAGGCACATGTATAATATCATATATTTATCATATTAAATAAAAAGTAAGTGTGACATATTAGAATTATTTTTACACACAAAAATACAAAAAAAAAGTTATGAAAATTTGAACACATCTATAATTCTATTTTTACACTACTATTAAAAATATGAATAAGAATTTATAACTTTCTTTTGACTAAAATATTCATTTTTGAATTTAGTCTCTGTTTAATTATGAGGTTTAAATTGTAAATTGAATTACTACTTTTCACCCCATTCAATTCCCTCTATTTAAATATTACATTATTTTTTGATAAATGAACAAAAAAAGATACACAAAAAAGATTAAATATTATAAAAAGAAGAATATAGCAAAGTAAGTAGGCCTATCAATGATGCTTGAAATTTCACAACTCGATCTGATTATCAAATATTTGGATGAGATATTTATGTAATCATATTTGGATTTGCAATCCGCATCTGATTAATAATAAAATATCTCTCTCTATATATATAGGGAGATAGAGAGAGAATAAAAATACATAAAATTTATAAAAAATATAGATACATTGTTACTATCATTGCCATAATCTATAAATATCACGTGCACACTTACTATTTAGTGTGGGCTGATTGACTAAACCAATACTGCCTTAGGCCTAAGCCCAACCTGTGTGCATCAAATTTTGGCACGGGTTGGATAATTCAGGGGTTAACATTCAAATATGGCCTGATTAAATTCGAATTCACTCTATTTATAGGCCTAATCACATGTGTCTTGTGAGATAACATAACCATTTACTTATTATGTGGTATTAGGGTATTCATGGTTCAATTTAGAGAATATGTTATACTGAAAACAAAGCTTTTTTTGTATAAAAACCAACATTACATTTTTGGTTTGGTTCCTATTACAGTTTGGGCCATATTATTAGGACTAACTTGATTAGACGATTCAAATAACATGTATATCGATATAAATAACAAATATGGTTCAAATATCAAATTAAAATATTAACAAGTGCCACCTATTACTATTATATAATCTAGTGTGAGGGCATGTGATGCAAGTTTGCAAGGTGAAGATATGAGTTGATAATATGTTACGAAATTTAACTTTCCTAATTGCACCAATACTAAGGTAAGTATTCACATTATAATAGTATAGATTACATTCACACTTTCTCATACATAAAATAACTTATTGGGTATCAAATTACAAGTTAAAAATTATAACAAACAACAATAATGCATGAAATGCTAGATGAGTACATACATACATATATATGTTAACCATACATATTATATATAATATGTATATTAATAAATATATTATTAATATTTCGATTTATGTGTTGGTCTGGTTTCAAAAATTTAGAAAGCCAAACCAAACTAGAAAATCACGGTATGAGGAATCCTCATACCAAACCAAATTGTTTTTAGTATAGACTATACGAATTTGTCAATTTCAACTTGGTTTTGTGCAATTTGGGGTCTAGACCATATTATGAACACTCCTACGTGGTATAATAACAACTGTGGCATGACTATTTAGGTGCCATGCGACATAATCATAATCATTGTAGTGTGTAAAATAATCATATATGGCATGTAACATAACCATATTTGTCATATAGCATAATCATAATTAAGGGGCGAGCACGGGCGAGCATGTGTTGGTTCGGTTCGATTCCAATGCTGAAAATGGAACCCACCCTACAGGGGTTGGTTGTATGTTTTTGGAGCCAAAACCTACTCTTCCAAGACCAATGTTAGGGTCTACCCATGGAACCTATTATTTGACATAATTATAATAAAAAGTTGCATCATTAATATGTTACTATCAATACATAATTATAAATTAGAAATCACAATCATAAAATATTTAAACTTGATTTCCAACAATAATGACAATTATTATTATTATTATTATTATACATATTCAAATATTAAAATGAATAAAATTATTAATCACTTAAGTTGCTTAATGATCAAGCGAGAACATGATATTAATAAACACGAGTGTTTAAGATTCAAATCTTTACGTCCTTGAAGCATTTTGGGATTTATTTTTATTTGGTTTTAGCAAAGCTAGTCAAGACCAATTCCACCAAAATCAACCAAAATCAATGAAAGCCGGGTAACAAATTGGTTTGAGGACGGTTCAAGATGAATTCCATTCGCTTCTGAGTATAACCTACTTACCTACCCATTTGCTCACCCGAATCATGTTGTGAAAGCAATATTTGCCGAAGTCTTTTTACTGCAAGCAACAGAAAGTAAAAACTTGAATAATAGTTTTTAATACAACCTTGGTATATTAACGTTAATTACTTAATACCACTATAAGCCTCCATGGTTTTCTCAATTCTGACGTATATGGTTTTCTTTTATTTATTTTTAACAAAGTACAAATAAATTGTTGGAATGCTCACGTTAAACGTTTCTCTCTCTAAATTTCTTATACTTCTACGGTACCTTCTACGCTTTTAAGGTTATGTGAACTCACCGGAAATTAGACGTCTAGCAAACATGGCGACTTCCTCGAGGTAACACAGAAGCTTGTTCGTTTGTGCTTCTGGGTATGTTTCAGGCTTTCAGTTTCCACTTTCCTTTTTTTTCATCTTATTCCTAATTTCGTAGTGTCGAACTTTCTTAGCACCATTTCGAGCTTCTGGGCATGTTGCAAGTCTTCTTCTCCTTTTTTTTCCCCTTGTTTTTTCTGTATGAACTTGTGTAATTATTTGAGCTAGATGATGTTTGGAATCCATTTCATTGCATTATGCCCTATTTCTCTGTTACCTTTGTACCGAACTTCAATCAAGTTACGAGCTTCTGTATATGTTATTTTCTATTCGAGTTTTTCAATCCTTGAACGCGGGTTCGAGTATGGGAGCGGTCACTTGTTGCTAAAATGCTGGAGGTCAGGTACACATCCACTCCTTCCGTCAGCATTATTGGGCAATGGTCTTTTTTTTCGTCAATCCCTTTCTGTTACCTGATTTGTTAGTATTTTATGTTCTCATCTGGAACGATTTTTGTTTTCTTGTCTAACAGTATTTGCCAAATCAATTCGAGAATGAACAGAAAACCCGTCTTATTTTGTAATCTCTCCCTTCCATTCACTTATGCGGAAACTAGTCATTCTATCATTTTAGTAATGCCTAACATTTCTAGACATCTTCCTTCCCGGGCTTGTCTTGCTTGATGGTCAACGTTTCTCAAGTTCTTTGATTAATGTTGTTTGTGGTAGGTCTTTCATAATGATCCCTTCAGATGATGGATTCTGCCTCATGACCTCTGTTTTGTTTAGACTGTCAAAATTATACCCAATCAATCTGATTTGAATATATTCTTCAGTTCTACTGTTTGCTAAATTTTGGGCATTGGTGAATGTCAAGGATGTTTGACTTTTGAATAATCCGTTTGTTGGAGACCAACTTATTTAGTTTAGTTTGGTATGCCAATGAACAATGGAAAACAATTAAGGTCTGCTTATCTTCAAAATGTTCCCTTTTTAGTTGCTACAACTCCTACCTATTTTTTCCTATTTCCTATTTGAAGAGGATGCTGACTCTTCCAGCTTCGTGTTTCTTTTCACTACTCATTGCATGTGTAGCTAGTATTTGAAGAAAATAATGGTTGTGCCTATAGAAAGATAATGACTACTTTTTAATATAAAGTTTGGTAGGACTTATAATCTTGTGTAGGGTAAAGAGTTCATTTTTTTGATGAATGATAATAAATTTATTAATTCAGAAGCAGATTTAGAGTGAGTTCATACAACATCCCAGGGAGAGGCCTGCAGCCCCTCCTTGAATCTTACAAGTAAACTAAGAAAGAAAAGCAAGAATCACAACTGAGCCCAAAACAATTCTTCCCTATTTACCCATTGCTTAGCTAACACATCTGACAAAGTATTTGCTGAYCTCCCCACCCAYTRTAYARTGACCAACATATTCCTTGTCAACCAACTAAATTTCTTCATTTCATTCTTGTAACGCCACATAGCCTCTTCGGGATTTTTCAACCAACCCACCACCACTTTGGAATCCCCCTCGATTGCTAGATGTTGTACCCCCAGCTGGTTTGCAAATTGTACCCCTTGTACAACAGCTAAAAGTTCTGCTCTGATGGAGTCCCCAATTCCCAAGGGACCTGAGTAGAGCAACAAAATCTCTCCCTTCTCATTTCTCAAAGCACCCCCCATTCCGGATAATCCTGGATTACCCATTTTACTTCCATCAAAGTTCAACTTCAATGAGCCTTC